TCAAAAATACAAAATTTCTAACATTTTAAATATAGGTACTTATTAAGTGTCAATTTAAATCATACATAAATCGTATCGATGTATCTAATTAAATTATTTCAAGACTATGAACACAGATGAACTGCAGACGAAAAGCTTTCTCTAGACTAAAAATTTAAATATGCATTTGTTTTGCTAGTTACGAAATTTGTACTACTGCATGTACAATTTGTAGTATTTTGTTACTATTTGTATTTATAATACATTGTAAAACAAAATTACAAAAGGCTGAAAATATTAATACGTGTAGATTAATATTATTGGTTAATTATGTGAATTAATAGAAAAGATCGGCATTTTTTATAAATGATCGATGTAATATATATTTAAAAACAGAAAAAAAAACTAAATTAAATAGATCTCACAAGAGTGTTAAAAATCTGATTATCAGAAAACATAGAATTTCAAGTATACGATAGATACAAGGCCAACAGATTGGTGAGAAATGTTTGCACAAAGCACTTTTAAATTATTCTACAATCAGGAGCCAGAGATAACAGCTAAAATTTGTATAAAGAAAGCTATTGACAAAGATTAATTTTCGTTTAAATGGAATATCAACATTTTCATGAGAAAATGAGAATATTTTTGCTGGAACATTATCTATGACGGAAATTTCTTTCATTATATTATTATTCACAGTAAGATATAAGTAATTTTAGATTATCGAAGGAATTTTATGTTTAGTTACCAATTATTAAGTTACCAATAATAAATGACAGAATTTAAAATGTTAACTTTAGAGGAGAATTCGGATGAATTTGATCTTCACATATGTTGTCAAGGACACTCTCCTGAGTGTGGCTAGGTTTCATCTAAATAGTTTTAGCCGTTGCTCATTATTCATTGCAAAGTTATTGATTATTAAAAACTTAATTCCAAAAGAGTTCTATTTTACGATAAGATTAATATATATCGTAGTAATATATATCGTAGTATTACTATTGAATGCGAATTTGTTTAAATCATCAACGGACAAGCAGGACCTCCACCCCCTCTCCCACCCCTCCCGGCCTAATTTCTTGAATTGGGTTGGATTATTTTGGAGTGGGAGTACAGAGGCAAGATTGTAATTTTTGACCACCTTTTTTATACGTACGCGTACGTATTTCGTGATGGACAATTATTATTAAGAAATGTACTTTTGTATACTCGGATTGCTTCTCTCAAATACTACTCACTTTTACTACAAGTGAATATCATATCGATCTTTTCTTGCGTTGAATATTTTATTATGAATTACTGACAAATTTCGATGCACAAATCAGGATTTCAAGCTATTAGAAGCTATCATTGACGTAATGAGTAAATAGTAATTATCATTAATGTAATGAATAAATAGTAAATATGTTTATTTACATTTATTATTAAGCTCTCGCATTTTGTCTCGCATTTTGTCTCGCATTGATCTCGATAGAGATAAATTTATATGTAAAATAAATTTTCAAGATTATGTTCTTTACATATCTAAACATATTTTTTATCAGCTATATGATACAACATATATACAACATATATATATATATATATATATAATATACAATATATATATATGTGTATATGTGTGTATATATATATATATATGTTATATATATAGTCATATGAGAAAAGATATGAATGACCTTGAAAAGTCCTTAAAAGAAATTATCTTGAAAAAAATATTCTTATCGGTTATTAGCCTTTTAGATACCATTCATATTAGGTATGAGATATTTTTTACATCACCACAATTCGGAATGACCACTAAAACAAATCCTGTATATTTAATGATGTGATTAAACAAATAATAGAAAAAACAAGGTAACGATTACAAATTAATAACTAATCAACCCAGTCATCACTCAACAACTCCTTTCCATGACTTAAATAACTAGTTACGACTGAATCAACTCTATCTTTCGTTTTCATAAAGAAAGATGCTAACGCTGGGCTTTTCCTACCACATTCATACTTTTTCTTTTTCCACGCATTCCTTCGATCGACAAACATAGGCTATCTGGTCTTTTGGATGCGCCCGCTTTCCCTTTTTACAGTTCTTCAAAGCTATTTTCTAGGTTTGACCTTGATTGGGTCATACTTACAATTAAATTATAGCTAAAAGTGATTGCTTAAATCTACAATACTATATATAATATATAATAATATTTCCAACATATGTAGGGTGCATCTTAAAACTATATCATAGTTTCTATCCTGTAAAGAATACACACAC